TACAACCCAAACAGAACATGCATGTGGGAGATGCTCATCATTCTCAACTTAGATAACACAAATGGTTATCAAAACATGAGTTTCCTTTAACATTACATATGGATTACACACATTTGTGCTCAAACATGCAATTTCAAAGTAATTTCTTACATGCATGCACATATTAAGCTTCAATTCAACAATTCCAACACAATTTCATTTCAATCTTATTCTTGATCACCAAATTAGCTTGAACACACAAAATTACGAACTATAATCCAAGAATTACTCACCTAAAAGCTTTGATCTTCTAAGCTCTAGTCAATTCTTGAGCTAAATCCCCAAAATTTCCAAGCTTTAAGCCAAATGCACAATTTCTCTCCCTTTCTCTCACCAAGGCCGACCCTCACTCTCTCCCAATTGAATCCCTCAGATTTTGAGTTTTAAGAGAGCTAAAGGAGAGTGCAATGCAAATATACAACAAGCCCCACTAACAAATATTTTAATATAAAATAATGGGGTACTTAATTTATCAATTTAATCAGTTTAAATTGACCAGAATCAATTTTCAATTAAATTTCACCGTAGGCTCTAAAAATCATGCCAACCACAATGGCGTAATCAATTTCGAGTTCTGTGGCCGATAAGGCCCTCAATTTAATTCCAAAGCAGATTATTCAAACAGATATTCCTACGGTGGACAGATAGAATTCTAGAATCACATATTTTCACATAGTGGAACACAAAATCATATCAAAATACATAATCACATCATGTTAAGGACCAATTAACATATTACGGAACAGGGGTGTCACACATCAAATTCCCAGTAAATTGTCAATAAATTTTCAGTAAATTACTCACTAAATTCCCAGTAAATTCCTTATAAATTACTCAATAAATTCCCTATAGATTCTCAAAAAATTCTCAGTAAATTACATAGTAAATTCCCATAAATATTCTCGACAAATTCCCAGTAAATTCTTTGTAAATTACTCAGAAAATTCTCAGTAAATTCTTTTTAAATTGCACAGTAAATTCCCAATACATTCTCAGTAAATTCTCAGTCCATTACTCAGTAAATTTCGAACTCTGATATATAGAAGAAAGTGGTTATTTCATATGTTAATGCATATCTTTATTGTTGGGTTTAATGTTGTTATTTTGAGGGCGTTACAAGTAGCAAGTCTAACCTTAAGCTCTTGAAAAGACTTCTCACAAGTCTCATTCCATACAAACTTGATTCCTTTCCTTGTCAATCTAGTTAATGGTGTGACTAGCATAGAGAAATCCTTCACAAATCTATGGTAATACCCGGCCAACCCTAAGAAACTACAGATCTCGAATGCATTCTTAGGTTATCCTCAATCTTGCACTGCTTCTATCTGGGAAGAATCTATAGTCACTCAATCCCCGGAAATCACATGGCCTAAGAATTTAACTTCTCTCAACCAAAATTCACACTTTCGAAACTTAGCATGCAATTTGTGGTCTCTAAGTAGCTAAGCACCACTCGTAAGTGCTCCTTATGCTTCTCCTTAGAGAGTAAGTAAATAAAGATGTCGTCCACAAAGGCGACCACAATACGGTCTAGAAACTCACAAAAGATCCGGTTCATCAAATCGATAAACACAACTGGTGCATTGGTTAGCCCAAAGGGCATCACTAGGAACTCATAATGGCCATACCGCGTACGAAATGTCGTCTTTGGGATGTCTTTTTCCCTTACCCTTAACTGGTGATAACCTGATCTCAAGTCTATCTCAGAAAAACAACAAGACCCCTTCAACTGATCAAATAAATCATCTATACGAGGCATTGGGTACTTGTTCTTCACAGTTACCCTATTCAACTTTCGATAATCGATACACAATCGCAACGCATCATCTTTCTTTTTGGCGAAGAGAGCTGGTGTTCCTCAAGGCGAAGTAATAGGGCAGATAAAACCCTTATCTGGTAGCTCTTGGAGCTGTTTGAGAAATTTAAATTAGTTTATTTGGTTAACAGTTTTTAAAAATAAATTTTATTTATTTATTTATTTTTGTCATTTTTTGTGTGTTTAGTGTATTTTTTAAATCTTCTTAATCTAGATATATTTAAAAAAAAAACACAAGAAGGCATCGGTCACTAGTACATACCCCAATTCCTCCAAGAATAATTTAGTTGTATTTTATTAAATTTTTTTAAAAAACTCGCAAATATTTAACTATGAAAAAAATTTCTAAAGACAACAAAATACAAAAAATAAAAAACTCCAACTGCTTTTTAAAATTGAAAACCAAGCAGAGTGAATATTGTTCAGTTTAATTTTCTTTTTTCTAATCGAATTTAAGTTTATGGAGTGACCCCATCTAAAAAATTTTTGGAGTTGCTACTGGCCATATCAGAATTAGTGATAAAAACCTTCATAAATTTAAATTTTATGATATTAGAATATGTATTCAATATAAGTTTTGACTACATAAATTCATTGTGGACAAATGTATATATTACATATTATATAATATTTTTGAATAAGATGTTATAAATTATGTAGAAATTTACTTAAAATTGAATAAGATTTAGAAAAGTATAGGACCTTTTTCTCTCATCTAAATTAGAGTTTATAAATATTTTTGTTAACAAATGTGTGTTTCTTATTCTTTAAACATTATAAAAAGTTAAAAACTTTAAATATCTAAATCAAGATGCAGACACATATTTCAAACAATTATTCTTCTTCATTTTTTTTTTAATCAACAAGTATTTTATTGATGACGATTGTTTAAGAGGTCATGATGATGAAATTGATTAATCTTCATTATTGTAATTGGTTTAAACATTGTTTTAAAACTTGATTTATAATTTCGGGGATGAAATTCCTTAAGGGGGAAAATTATAACGATTTTGATTTTCACCCGACGCTTTTTATATTTTGGACTTGGGTTTCGTGGTTTTGTATTGTTGTTCATGTTTTTTTTCCCTCATTTCTTACTTAGTTTGAGTTTTAGAGTGTCTTGGTGTTATGTCCCGAACCTGCCCCTATAGGTTAAGGTCATAATCGGCTAGTAATCATAAGATTACATACAGCCTCAAGCAATATCAATATGTATATTATGAAAGTAATGGGGCCAAAACGAAAGCAGACTTAAAAAATTTGTCCAAAGAGCTGTGCTTATATGGCGTATCAAAACATCTGACATATATCCATTAATAACTCACACCAAAAAAATAAACTTAGAATATTGTACATACAGGATCATTCAAACTAACTTATAGTCAGCCAAACCAAAAGTTTATATGCATAAGTGATCCAACGAAACCACCAAGGTGGGAAGGTGCAAACCAGAAGGGAAAGTACAAGAAACAAAGTCTCTTGCGTGAGATGTTCAGGCTGATTCCACAAAACTGGACTTCCTTTCACACCTTTCACTATGGCTGGGTTTGGACATCTCTTTGCTCACCTACAAACATATAAATGAGAGTGAGAAAAAGCCTAGTAAATAATATCAAAATATAGAAATTACATGAATTCAATTCTTAACAAACATATCAAACAGCCTTAGACCCATTCGTATTTCTATCCAATACATCAAACGGTCTCGGGCCCAATTCATTCATGTAAGACGGCCTCGAGCCCAATTCATTTATGTAAGACAGCCTCGGGCCCAATTTAATCATATCAAACGACCTTGGGCCCAATTCATTCATTAGCATAACGAATTCTCATTCACAATTCAAATTAACAAATCCATAAAACTTATACGAAAGTAAGCATTTGGAAAGTAGCATACGAAAGTAGCATCTTGAAAACATCTTTAGTAAGATATTACTCACAGTGTTTCGCCGATGGATTTGCCGTTGCGCTTGACCCTACACATTTCATAACATATTGGGTTACAAGTGATTCAATCCATTCTTAATTTGTTTATTTCTATTAGCTCTCTTTCTTATCTTTTTAGTTCAATTACAATGTTCAATGCATGCCTAAGAGTGCTTAGAAATGAAAGAGAACGAAAAATGAAATATCAAACAACTTTTCAAAATTTTTGAAACAGGGCACTCCGCTCGAGCGTAGCTTGGGTTGCTTGAGCGGACTGCAAGACTCTGCAAAAATACAGGTTGCATGAGATTTTCGCTCGACGGGTCCTCAATGGTTGCTCGAGCCAAAAGATTGAGTGAAAAAAGTCTTCGCTCAAGCGCAACTTTGGTCACTCGAGCAATCTGCAAAATTTACAAAACATCTAGGACCTTGATTTTTAAGCTCGAGCGACACTTTCCTCACTTGAGCGGACAGGTCGAATTCTGGAATTTCCAGAATTCTGTTTGGAGCCCAAAACACATTTCCAAAGGCATAATTCGTGTATAGCTCACTCAAATATGCAAGAATACTCCCAAAAACATATATTTGAAGATGACTGTCAACCATAGTTCAAAATTCCATGGATTTAATCATTTTAAACCATAAAATTTACATTTGCACATTCTATGTGTTGTAGCTTGCATGGATAAGCTTCAAGGCTTGAAATTAAGCTTCAATGCATGAAGATTCTTACATGGATGTGCCAAACAACCTTCATTATAACATGATCAACATGTTACACATTCAATTATGCAAAATTATGGCCAATTTTTGCATGCATCCAATGATCTAAATTTTACTAGACTTAGCTTAATTCATGCATTTAGCTTCATATATACCTTGAATTCACTCAATTATGGACTTAAACTCATGAATTTGAGTTCAATTGCTCACCTAGAAGCTTCAACTTTCCTAGCTCTAGCTAGTTCTGGGATTAATCTCCTTAATCTTCATGACTCTTGCTGAATTCTCCAATTTTTCTTTCACTCTCTCTAAAACCGTCCCTCTCTCTCTAGAGTGTACTCTCACCCAAGTTATGAAAAAATGAGCTCAAAGTGACTTAGTTTAAGTGTATAAAGGTCACTTATATATGTTTGCCTAATCAACTTGATTAAGGCTAATTGATCATGCTCAATTTAATCAATTTAATCTAATTATTTCGGTGCAAATCAATTTTTAATCAAATTTCACCATATGCTCTAAAATTCACGCTAATCACAATGGTATAGACAATTTCAATTTCTAACACCTCTACAACCTTCAATTTAAATTTTATAACAGAAAAATGAACAGATTTTCCTACGTGGAACATATACGAATTGAGAAACACATATAATCATATAATCAGCACTCAAGATCATATCAAGCATATAATTATAGGCACATTTAAGATTAATTAGCATAACATAGATTAGGGTTGTCACATTCTTCCCCGTTTAGGAAGTTTGGTCCTCCAAACTTATTTTACCTCTGTCCGGAAACAAATGTGGATAGCGTATTCGCATCTCATCCTTTTTTTTCCCATGTAGCGTCCTTTCCATAGTGTTCTTTCCATTCTACCTTCACCATTGGGATGGACTTATTTCTCAACTGCATCACTTGCCGATCAATGATTCGTTCTGGCCATTTTTCGTATTCCATATTCTCATCGAGTGCTATTCGGTGATAGTTAGTCACATGAAACGGATCTTGAAGATAACCCCTCAACATTGATACATGGAATACATTCTGCATTTGTTCGAATCCCGGTGACAAATCAACTCTATAAGCTATTGGGCCAAGCCTTTCTGGAATTTGAAACGGCCGAATGTAGCGGGGTGACAGTTTACCTTTCTTACCAAATCTTGAGTGGCCCTTCATCGAAATCACATAGATAAATACATGATTGCCAACCTCATACTCAGGAGGTCTCCTTCGAACATCCACATAATTCTTTTTCTGACTCTGTGCCGTCTTGAGCCTTTGTTGGATGATCTTGATCTTCTTAGACATGTCTTGCACAATTTCGGGCCCAAGTAAAGCCCTATCCTCGACTGTTGTCCAACAAATCGGTGATCTACACTTTCTGCCATACAAAGCTTCGTATGGTGCTGTACTAATGCTTGAGTGGAAACTATTATTCCATGCAAATTCTGCTAGTGGCAAATAGTCCTTTCAACTCCCTTAAAAATCTGAGGCACACATCCTGAGCATGTCCTCCAAAGTTTGTATGGTTTGTTCTAATTGCCCATCTGTTTGTGGATGGAACGCGGTACAAAACCATAGTTCTGTTCCCATTGCCATTTGCAAGCTCTTCCACAATCTAGATACAAATTTCGGATCTCTGTCAGAGACAATAGATTCCGGAACTCCATGTAAACGAACAATCTCATCAACATATGTAGCAGCTAATCGATAAGCATCAAAAGTAGTCTTCACGAGCAGAAAATGTGCAGATTTAGTCAGTCTATCAACTATAACCCAAATAGAATCCATACCTTTCAGAGTTCGAGGTAGACCAACAACGAAGTCCATGGTCACATGTTCCTACTTCCATTCGGGAATGGGAAGAGGTTGAAGTAAGCCGCCTAGTTTTTGGTGTTCAGCCTTAACTTGTTGACACTGAAGGCACTTAGACACATATTCTAAAATTTCTTTCTTTATTTTGGGCTGCCAATAGCTTGGCTTTAAATCCCGATACATTTTATTATTACCCAGATGCATTCCAAATATTGACTTGTGAGCTTCGTCTAGGATTCTCTTCTTCAATTCAGGAATGTCCGGGACACACATTCGGCTTTGAAATCTCAACACTGCACCATCAACATTGAATTTTTGTTTCGATTTCGCTTCAAACTCATCGATTATTATCTTAAGGGCCTCATCCTCTCTTTGTCTTTGCTTGACTTCAGTAATTATTGCTAGTTCAGCAGAAATGGCAACTATCAGCCCAACTTGTTCATGTAATACAATTTCAATCTCGACTTTCTCAAAATCTTGCAAATTTTATTTCTGTTCAGTGAGTAGACAAGCTAATTTCCCCATAGACTTCCTGCTCAATGCATTAGAAACTGTATTGGCCTTTCTGGGGTTATTTTGAATTTGAAGGTCATAATCCTTTATCAACTCGAGCCATCTTCTTTGCTGCATATTTAATTCTTTTTTAGTAAAGAAATACTTTAGGCTCTTGTGATTGGTATAAACGTCACATTTCGCCCCATACAGGTAATGCCGCCAAATTTTCAAGAAAAACACAACTGCGGCTAATTCTAAGTCGTGTGTTGGGTAGTTCTTCTCATGTGGACTCAACTGTCGATAGGCATAAGCAATCAGCCTTCCATTCTGCATTAATACACAACCCAAACCTTTATAAGAAGCATCACTATATAGCTTAAAGTTTTCCATACCTGAGGGCAATGTTAAAATTGGTGCAGTGGTCAGTCTCGTCTTCAATTCTTGAAAGGCAAACTCCCTTTCATTAGTCCATTCACTTCAATTCTTGAAAGGCAAACTCCCTTTCATCAGTCCATTCAAATGGTTGTCCTTTGCATGTAAGTTGAGTAAGTGGTATGGCTATTTTTGAAAAATCTTTCACAAACCGTCTGTAGTACCCGGCCAAGCCCATGAAACTGCGGACTTCTGTTACATTCGTCAGAGTAGACCAGTTCACAATTACCTCTATCTTCTACGAGTCTGCTGAAATCTCCTCATTGTTGATAACATGCCCTAAGAAAATAACTTCATCCATTCAAAATTCACATTTCTTTAGTTTAGCAAATAATTTTTTTTTCTCTAAGTGTTTGCAAGACAGTTCTCAAATGGTATTCATGTTCAAGTTTACTACCTGAATATATTAAGATATCATTAATAAAGACCACAACGAAATCATCAAGGTAAGTGTTAAAAATTTGGTTCATTGGGTCCATAAATATTGCAGGAGCATTAGTCACTCCAAATGGCATAACAAGGAATTCATAGTGACCGTACCTTGTCCGAAATGTAGTTTTCTCAACGTCCTCTACCTTTACCTTCAACTAGTTGTACCCAAATCTTAAATCAATTTTGGAAAATACTTGTGATCCCTGCAACTGGTCAAACAAGTCGTTAATACAAGGTAAAAGGTATTTATTCTTTATCGTTACCTTGTTCAATTCATGGTAGTCAATACATAGGCGCAAGGTTCCATCATTCTTTTTCACAAATAACACCGGTACACACCATGGTGAAGTACTTGGTCAAATAAACCCTTTGTCAAATAAGTCTTGCAATTGTTCTTTTAGTTCTTTTATTTCAGCAGTGGCCAAAATTTACATTTCTTTAGTTTAGCAAACACAATTTTTTCCTGCCCTGGTGGTCTAAATACAACTCGTTTCGTTACACAGTCGATGGTGGCACGGTATGTAGATAACCAATCCATGCCCAAAATTACATCAAAATGTCTAAAGTCCAAGGGTAACAAATCCATATACAAAGTAGCATTTCCAATATGCATATCACAAAATCGACACACAGATGTACACAACACAGATTCCCTGGATAGAGCAGATACACATAACAAATATGGCAATGATTCTAGGGGTCTACTCAATCTAGATGCAAATGCATAAGTTACCAAGGAGTGCATTGATCTGGAGTCAATTAACACAAATGCATCCTGATTACATATAGAGATAGTAGCTGAAACGACGGCTTTTGAATTCCGTGTATTACCCGGAACGAGTACAAAGACTCACCCTTGCCAGACGGTGTCTCCAGTGGTAGTAGGCCTCGTAGTGTTTCCCAGTTTTGGGATCGATGCAGTTGAGCTAGCAGCTAACTTCCCACTGTTTTGATTACAATCCCAAGCCATGTGCCCTGTTTTACCACACTTAAAGCAAGCCCCTAAAACACGGTTGCAAACCCCACGATGTCTTTTACCACATTGATTTCACATTGGAGATGTATCTCTGGAAGAATTTGAAGTGCTTGAGGAGCCCGTATTCTGTTTCTTTGCAAGTCTTTTCTTTGAAAAGTAGCCCTGCCTCTTACTTTTCCACTCAGTTGGTGATTTACCCTACCTGGCTATGTTAGCGTTTGATATTATGGCCCGATCTAGCACATCAATATAGGTTTCTAGGTTTAATACATTCACCTTCTCTAATATATCATCTCGAAGACCTTCTTCATAGTGACTCGCTTTCTTATAATCGATAGCGACCATGTGTGGTGCAAATCTAGCCAATTCAATTAACTTGGCCTCGTACTCAGCTACTGTCATGCTATTTTGCTTAAGTTCCCTGAACTCCTACTCTTTCCTGTCACAAACACATTGTGGAAAGTATTTGTCGTAGAAAATTTTCAATAACCATGCCCAGCCAATGTCTTTATTGTTTTAAGCATCAACATCCACTACCTTCTCGCTTCATCTTCCAGTGTAAAGGTGGCTAGTAATACTTTATGTGCTTCTAGACAAGGAAACACCTCAAACAATTTCTCTATTCCAAGGACTCATGCCTCGGCCTTCAATGGATCCAATCCTTCATAAAACTGCGGCGGTTTCATTTTCTTGAACTCTTTGGTGAGAGCTATTGTTCGGTCATCATTTTACAGTCTGGTACAAGTGGTATCGGAGGTGGAGGGTGTGGCTGTTACCATTGTTGTTGTTGTCTCAATGTCTCTGTCGTTTCTTGTATTAATCTTTCAATCCTATCCATTCTGGCAATAGAGGACTCTTCTAATTCATCACCTCTTGTTTTCACCATTATTTTCTTAGACTTGCATTATTCCTTATACAAAAATGTTCACAAGTATGCATACAGGAAAGGGCATATATATTCAAGTAATCACAATGCAAGCAACTCAGAAAGCATATAGAAAGCATATAGCATATAGTCATTCATTTCGAAACATTTAAGCATATTTTCAATGTCTTCAAGTTCATACTTATCACATGAATACATCCTAGATTTTTTCTAGATGTTTGTTGCTCATTTGGAGAAGTGTGTGAGTTATTAACTCGTGCTCTGATACCGCTCTATCATTACCCGAACCTACCCGTATAAGTTAAAGTCATAATCGGTCATAATCGGCCAATAATCATTAGATTACCTACGGCCTCAAACAATATCAATACGTATATTGTGATAGTAATGGGGCCAAAATGGAAGTAGACCTAAAAATTCTACCTAAAGAGCTATGCTTACATGGCATATCAAAACATCTCACATATATCCATATAAGAAACAAAGTCTCATGCGTGAGACGTTCAGGTTGACTCCACAAAACTTGACTTCCTCTCACACCCTTCACTGAGGCTGGGTTTGGACATTTCATTGCTCACCTACATATATATAAACGAAAGTGAGCAAAAGCCAATGAATAATATCAAAATAGAGGAGTTACATGAATGAAATTCTTAACAAACATATCAAACGGCCTTAGGCCCATTCATATTTCTATCCAATACATCAAACGGCCTCAGGCCCAAACATATCAAATGGCCTCAGGCCCAATTCATTCATGTGAGACGGCCTCGGGCCCAATTCATTCATTGGCATGACGAATTCTCGTTCACAATTCAAATTAACAAATCCATAAAACTTATACAAAAGTAAGCATTTGGAAAGTAGCATACAAAAGTAGCATACTTGAAAATATCTTTACTAAGATATTACTCACAGTGTTCTGCCGATGGATTTTCCATTGCGCCTGACCCTACATATTTCATAACATATTGGGTCACAAGCAATTCAATATGTTCTTAATTTGTTTATTTTTCTTAGGCCTCTTTCTTATCTTTTTAGTTCAATTACAATGTTCAATGCATGCCTAAGAGTGCTTAGAAATGCAAGAGAACGGAAAATGAAACATAAAACAACTTTTCAAAATTTTTGAAACTGGGCTCTCCGTTCGAGTGTAGCTTGGGTCACTCGAGCGAACTGCAAGACTCTGCAAAAATACTAGTTACGTGAGATTTTTGCTCGACGGGCCCTTGATGGTTTGCAGAATTTACAAAACGTGTGGGAGCTTGATTT